CTGTTAAACTATTACCTGACTGCATCAACTGTTTAACTATTACCTGACTGCATCAACTGTTAAACGATTACCTGGCAGTATCAACTATTAAACTATTACTGATTGTATCAACCATTAAACTATGACCTGACAGTATCAAATATTAAACTCACTAACCACCCAAGGAGTTTTGAACGTCGAATAACAGCCTGATCGTATCAGACACCTTCAAATGTATGCAGAGGGTCTTTTATCAGAGTATTGACACTGTGTTGGGCATATGTTTAGCCTGAATGAGTTCCATTGTTGGTCCTCTGCAGTGTTAGAGACTTGATGTATTCTATCCTTGGTCTTATAATGTGATAGGGAGCTAGGTAATTCTGCAACTGTTCACTTTCAGTATAAAAATTCAGTTCTCCTGTTCAGTGTTGCATGTCAACAGTCTGTGGAGAACTATGCCTGTAGTCGTTGGTGGTTAATGTGCAATTGATTGGAACATGCTATGATAATCTGATCACGGCTAAGTCTTGGCCTACATACAACTATCCATTGATTGAAAAAGTCCTGCCTCTGTCCGGTACAAGCATGGCAAGACGCCCTAACCTAGCTCGCCCAATCTGCCAATGTGTATACAAAGCTGGTTGTAACCTGGGAAACAAGATTGACTTCGTTTGTTGTGTTCGTGGGAACATCTCAGGTGTATCTGGCCACGGTTCATTGGCTGCAACATACTGCTGTTCCTTGGTCTGCCAGGGCGTGGCACAACGGTGCACGGGGCTAGGTATGACGCCGACAGCAGGATTAACGTCAAAAGTTACAAACCTGTTTTATAAATGTTTTATTACGAGGAAGTGCGGTGTTGTGTCCCAGTCCTGCCCGGTAATAAACACACAGTGTGGTATGTGTCGATATAACTCAACATGCTCTTCACACGAAATCGCGTATCATCTGCGGCATGTAAGGGGGCGAGGAGGCTCGCCCGCCGCAGACAGGAAATCTTCATCTTGTTGATTGTTTCATAATCTGTGTTAGTCTGGTTCTGTGAACATAACAGGTGACTCACAAACCGGCACTCCGTCGTGAAACCAGATCCACGCTGAGATGGCGTGTTATGTACAAATAACTGCAGACGTGATATTCGTGGCCTGTGATACCTTCTGCACACGTGGCCTGCGATATACGCCGTATGCGTTGTCTGGGATATGCGTCATATCCGTGTCCTGTGATGTGTCATATACCTGGCCCGTGATATACGCGGTATACGTGGCAAGTGATATACGTCATATACGTGGCCAGGGATATACACCGTTTACGGGGCCTGTGATATACGTTGTACCTGTGATATTCCATATACGTGGCCAGTGTTGTCCGTAGTACAAGTGGCTTGTCGTATATGTGGTATGTGATACACGTGCTAAACGTGTCCTGTAATGCGTAAATGAGTGAGTATGATTTTACACCGATTTTAACAGTATTCCAGCAATCTCACGGCGGGGAACACCTGAAATGGGCTTCACACACTGTGCCCATGTGGAGAATCGAACCCGGGTCTTCAGAGTAGCGTGCTAACGCTGTACCCATTGGGCTACCCCACCGTTGCGTTCTGTGATGTGTGTGGTATACTTGGCATGTGATATACGTCATATACGTGGCTTATGTTGAACGTTATGTCCTTGGTATACGTGGTATATGATATGCGTCATATCTCTGTGGCCAGGGATATGCATGGCTTGTTATGTATGGTTTGTAGCATGTAACTCCGTACTCCGTGTTACACGTACTCTACATTATACACCGTCTCTATAACGCGCCCGCTGTACAACAAACGCACCGAACGCCGCACTGAATGATTGGTAATTCATGCATGTTTTGTTTACATACAATGACGTCCGAAAAGTGAAAACGACAGATGACCAATGACCAGTGCCAAATGTATGTTACTTGAGTTAATGGTGGTCTTGCTGTCCACCACCATGGTCAGTCCTCGTGCAGTTGGATCACCAGCATCGCGGTCCATCCATCTTCCCATTGATCGCCCCCGCCATGGCGACGAGGCGTCTCACGCACCTGCTCTTTAGAAGCTGTACCATTTCTCACAGCAGAACCAGATCCTCACTTGTTCTATTTTACAATTCATATTTTCTTGTTGCCGCAAGTTAAACTCATTATTCACTGGTTCATTGTCGCCAAGGTCAAGGTCAACACTAATGGTTGCGCTACAGAAATGTTTACCACTGGTTATGTATGGAGGGGCTATAGTTGAGTCAGTCATGTGTTCACGGTTGGGTGAGCTCAGTTTCTAGTTATGTTAAATCCTTCGTTACCTCTGTCTGTACCTGTCATAAGGCAGAAGTTCTGCAGACTTGTGTATGACACATCCCTAGCCCGGGGACAAAACAGGGGGCGGGGTCCCCCTTGGCATTGTTCGAATAAAGACATATTCTAATGTCGACCTACATATTATACCAGCGGTATACCAGCCCGACAACCCCGTGTTCACACAGAAATATACACGGACACCTCAACTTTGATGGGATCATTCCACCCTCCATTGCTTGCCTTATCGCGTATGCACAGGTCATCGGCAAACATCGGAGTTCGTCGAAACTCACCGGAGTTCGACGACAAACATTGTAATTTTCCTGTGAAGCGGGTTACTTTGTATCGTGCTGGGAAATACAGTACACTCCCTACAGTGTACAAGGATTGGCACATGTAGGTTAATTATATATACTCCAAACATTGCTTTCCCAAAACTCTTCCCTCTTATGAACGCACCCAGTGTACTGGCGATATATCCCGTCTTGTGGACAGATACAGTCTAGTGGTGACATTCCCTGTCTAGTAGTAACGTACCCTGTCTAGTGGTGACATACCCTGTCTAGTGGTGACATACCATGTCTATGGTGACATATAATGTCTAGTGGGTGACATATCCTGTCTAGTGGTGACATACCCTGTCTATTGGTGATATACCCTGTCTAGTGGTGATATACCCTGTCTAGTGGTGATATACCCTGTCTAGTGGTAACATACCATGTCTAGTGGTGATATACCCTGTCTAGTGGTGATATACCCTGTCTAGTGGTGACATACCATGTCTAGTGGTGACATACCCTGTCTAGTGGTGACATACCCTGTCTAGTGGTGACATACCCTGTCTAATGGTGATATACCCTGTCTAGTGGTGACATATCCTGTCTAGTGGTGACATACCCTGTCTATTGGTGATATACCCTGTCTAGTGGTGATATACCCTGTCTAGTGGTGATATACCCTGTCTAGTGGTAACATACCCTGTCTAGTGGTGATATACCCTGTCTAGTGGTGATATACCCTGTCTAGTGGTGACATACCATGTCTAGTGGTGACATACCCTCTCTAGTGGTGATATACCCTGTCTAGTGGTAACATACCCTGTCTAGTGGTGACATACCCTGTCTATTGGTGATATACCCTGTCTAGTGGTGATATACCCTGTCTAGTGGTGACATTCCCTGTCTATTGGTGACATACCCTGTCTAATGGTGACATGCCCTGTCTAGTGGTGACATACCCTGTCTAGTGGTGATATACCCTGTCTAGTGGTGACATACCCTGTCTAGTGGTGATATACCCTGTCTAGTGGTGATATACCCTGTCTAGTGGTGACATACCATGTCTAGTGGTGACATACCCTCTCTAGTGGTGACATACCCTGTCTATTGGTGATATACCCTGTCTAGTGGTAACATACCCTGTCTATTGGTGATATACCCTGTCTAGTGATGATATACCCTGTCTAGTGGTGATATACCCTGTCTAGTGGTGACATTCCCTGTCTAGTGGTGATATACCCTGTCTAGTGGTAACATACCCTGTCTATTGGTGATATACCCTGTCTAGTGGTGATATACCCTGTCTAGTGATGATATACCCTGTCTAGTGGTGATATACCCTGTCTATTGGCGACATACCCTGTCTAGTGGTGACATACCCTGTCTAGTGGTAACAGACCCTGTCTAGTGGTGACATACCCTGTCTAGTGGTGACATACCCTGTCTATTGGTGACATACCCTGTCTATTGGTGATATACCCTGTCCAGTGGTGATATACCCTGTCTAGTGGTGATATACCCTGTCTGTTGGTGATATACCCTGTCTAGTGGTGATATACCCTGTCTAGTAATGATATGCCCTGTCTAGTAGTGACATACCCTGTCTAATCGTGACATTCCTTGTCTAGTGGTGATATACCCTGTCTAGTGATGATATACCCTGTCTAATGGTGACATACCCTGTCTAATGGTGACATACCCTATCTAGTGGTGACATACCCTGCGTAGTGGTGACATAACCTGTCTACTGGTGACATACCCTGTCAAGTGGTGACATATCCTGTCTAGTGGGGATGTTCACTGTCTTATGGTGACATACCCTGTCTAGTGGTGACATATCCTGTCTAGTGGGGATGTTCCCTGCCTAATGGTGACATATCCTGTCTATTGGTGACATACCCTGTCTAGTTGGGAGACTGTCAGTGTAATGCTGACATACCCTGTCTTGTGCGGTCACTGTCAGTCTAATGCTGACATACCCTGTCTTGTGCGGTGACTGTCAGTCTAATGGTGATATACCCTGTCTTGTGCGGTCACTGTCAGTCTAATCCTGACATACCCTGTCCAGTTGGGAGACTGTCAGTCTAATGCTTACATACCCTGTCTTGTGCGGTCACTGTCAGTCTAATGGTGACATACCCTGTCTAGTTGGGATACTGTCAGTCTAATGCTGACATACCCTGTCTAGTGGGGTCACTGTCAGTCTATTGCCGACATACCCTGTCTAGTGGGGAGACTGTCAGTTTGATGCTTATCTACTCCGCCTCGTAAGGGAATTCTCCGTCTAGTGGTGACATGTTCAGTCTGGAGGAAAGAATATGGTGAAAAGACTGGGCCTCCTCTCTGATAACATTCACACCAGATGTAGACAGCCTTATAGACACACACAATACTCCCTTATCGCTGTTTTGTTTCTGTGTGCTTATGAGTCAGAGTTGCTTCTCAGGTTGGCAAAATTAAGAAATGGCAATTTGGCCTAGAAGTTTCACTTCAAAATAAGAAAATGTTATTCAGCCAAATGCTGTTCGTGAAGCTGAAGATACATGGATGGTCTTGTTTACAGACATTCAAATAGCCAGTTCTCTTCCACTGATCTAGACGTCTCAACTTGAAATATGGACGTCGAGGTGGCCGTCACATCTGTTTCATGCATAGATCTATACATAAAGATTCAGAGTAACGAAACACTCTCCACAAAGTTGTACCACGAGACGGATGAATTTGACTCTCCAGTACACAACATTCACTTTATATCGAGCAATATTCCCTTTACGTCCAGCAATATTCTCTTTTTGTCAAGCAATATTCCCTTTACGTCCAGCAATATTCACTTTACGTCCAGCAATATTCTCTTTTTGTCCAGCAATATTCTCTTTATGTCCAGCAATTTCCCTTTATGTCCAGCAATATTCACTTTATGTCCAGCAATATTCTCTTTTTGTCCAGCAATATTCTCTTTATGTCCAGCAATTTCCCTTTATGTCCAGCAATATTCACTTTATGTCCAGCAATTTCCCTTTACGTCCAGCAATATTCTCTTTATGTCCAGCAATTTCCCTTTATGTCCAGCAATATTCACTTTACGTCCAGCAATATTCACTTTATGTCCAGCAATATTCTCTTTTTGTCCAGCAATTTCCCTTTATGTCCAGCAATATTCACTTTATGTCCAGCAATTTCCCTTTATGTCCAGCAATATTCACTTTTTGTCCAGCAATATTCCCTTTATGTCCAGCAATATTCACTTTATGTCCAGCAATTTCCCTTTATGTCCAGCAATATTCACTTTATGTCCAGCAATATTCACTTTATGTCCAGCAATATTCTCTTTTTGTCCAGCAATTTCCCTTTATGTCCAGCAATATTCACTTTATGTCCAGCAATTTCCCTTTATGTCAAGCAATATTCCCTTTATATCCAGCAAATATTCACTTTATGTCCAGCAATATTCACTTTATGTCCAGCAATTTCCCTTTATGTCCAGCAATATTCACTTTATGTCCAGCAATATTCACTTTATGTCCAGCAATTTCCCTTTATGTCCAGCAATATTCACTTTATGTCCAGCAATATTCACTTTATGTCCAGCAATATTCACTTTATATCGAGCAATATTCCCTTTACATCCAGCAATATTCTCTTTTTGTCCAGCAATTTCCCTTTATGTCCAGCAATATTCACTTTATGTCCAGCAATTTCCCTTTATGTCCAGCAATATTCACTTTATGTCCAGCAATATTCACTTTATGTCCAGCAATATTCACTTTATGTCCAGCAATATTCCCTTTATATCCAGCAATATTCACTTTATGTCCAGCAATTTCCTTTATGTCCAGCAATATTCACTTTATGTCCAGCAATATTCACTTTATGTCCAGCAATTTCCCTTTATGTCCAGCAATATTCACTTTATGTCCAGCAATATGTCCAGCTTTCATGTCCAGCCAAATATTCCCTTTATATCCAGCAATATTCACTTTATGTCCAGCAATATTCACTTTATGTCCAGCAATATTCACTTTATGTCCAGCAATATTCCCTTTATATCCAGCAAATATTCACTTTATGTCCAGCAATATTCACTTTATGTCCAGCAATATTCACTTTATGTCCAGCAATATTCCCTTTATATCCAGCAATATTCCCTTTATATCCAGCAAATATTCACTTTATGTCCAGCAATATTCACTTTATGTCCAACAATATTACTTTTATGTCCAGCAATATTCCATTTATGTCCAGCAACATTCACTTTATGTCCAGCAACATTCACTTTATGTCCAGCAATATTCACTTTATGTCCAGCAACATTCACTTTATGTCCAGCAATATTCACTTTATGTCCAGCAATATTCACTTTATGTCCAGCAATATTCCCTTTACATCCAGCAATATTCTCTTTTTGTCCAGCAATTTCCCTTTATGTCCAGCAATATTCACTTTATGTCCAGCAATTTCCTTTATGTCCAGCAATATTCACTTTATGTCCAGCAATATTCACTTTATGTCCAGCAATATTCACTTTTATGTCCAGCAATATTCCCTTTATATCCAGCAAATATTCACTTTATGTCCAGCAATATTCACTTTATGTCCAGCAATTTCCCTTTATGTCCAGCAATATTCACTTTATGTCCAGCAATATTCACTTTATGTCCAGCAATATTCACTTTATGTCCAGCAATTTCCCTTTATGTCCAGCAATATTCACTTTATGTCTAGCAATATTCCCTTTATGTCCAGCAATATTCCCTTTATATCCAGCAAATATTCACTTTATGTCCAGCAATATTCACTTTATGTCCAGCAATATTCACTTTATGTCCAGCAATATTCCCTTTATATCCAGCAAATATTCACTTTATGTCCAGCAATATTCACTTTATGTCCAGCAATATTCACTTTATGTCCAGCAATATTCCCATTATATCCAGCAATATTCCCTTTATATCCAGCAAATATTCACTTTATGTCCAGCAATATTCACTTTATGTCCAACAATATTACTTTTATGTCCAGCAATATTCCACTTATGTCGAGCGATATTCACTTTATGTCCAGCAACATTCACTTTATGTCCAGCAATATTCACTTTATGTCCAGCAACATTCACTTTATGTCCAGCAATATTCACTTTATGTCCAGCAATATTCTCGAGGTTCTATTTTATGGTGCTTACATTTCATAATTCTTGAGGTACAATCTTACCAGCAAGATTCCAGTGACGGTCATACGTAACACCTCTGGCACTCAACAAACAACACGAGGCGTGGTGACGTACAAAGAATTATAGCTTTTGTTGTAGTAGTACAACAATGTAGGGCGAACAGTTTACACAGAGGCTGACATTTTTCATGAACATAATCTGTTTAACTGGTCATACTTTTACACATACCACTCTTACCCAGACGTTCTTCAATCAAGGTTACAACATTCAGGGCCACGGCAAATCTTTCAAAACGTTTCTTGGTAAGCATGTGGAGGGTTTGATGCATCAGTGACATAAATGATCAGCTGACATACATGTATAATGCTACTGTCTATTTTGAACGTTTTAGTATATGACGGTTGTCACGGGCTAGGTAATATATGCTCATCGTTTCACGAACAACTAGCGTCATCACCATTTCAGTCATCCATGATCAATCTCTGCATTTGACAGATACTCCCCGGACAGGAGGAAGCTTTAGTTGCTTTGATTCCACGACTACTTCCGACGAAATATGTTGAGCCTTAAAATGCTCTTTTTTCTTGATAATGGGCATCGCCATGACAGCTTTTATCAATTTTATTATTAGTTATGATCTCTAGAGATATTTTTAAATGCGGTCATACATCTACAACGATCGAGGAAACGTGATATTGACATTGATGGAGGACATTGACTTGAACCTTCACAGAATGACATTGACCAGCTGTTACACCTCCAAGACTGGGATGGCGTTCCCCATATAGTGTTGATCACGATGATGTAGTGTCTTTATCTTCAGCTGATGATGTAGCAACAGAAGATGACGTCAACGATGATGTAGTGTCTGTATCTTCAGCTGATGATGTAACAACAGAAAATGACGTCGACGATGATGTAGTGCCTGTATCTTCAGCTGATGATGTAACATCAGAAGATGACGTCCACGATGATGTAGTGTCTGTATCTTCAGCTGATGATGTAACAACAGAAGATGACGTCCACGATGAGGTAGTGGCTGTTTCTTCAGCTGATGATGCAACAACAGAAGATGACGTCCACGATGATATCGTGCCTGTATCTTCAGCTGATGATGCAACAACAGAAGATGACGTCCACGATGATGTCGTGCCTGTATCTTCAGCTGATGATGCAACAACAGAAGATGACGTCCACGATGATGTAGTGCCTGTATCTTCAGCTGATGATGTAACAACAGAAGATGACGTCCACGATGATGTAGTGCCTGTATCTTCAGCTGATGATGTAACAACAGAAGATGACGTCCACGATGATGTAGTGCCTGTAACGAGTGAACAAGCACATATGGTAAAGGAATGACACAAGCACGGTACATGGCCACAGTTCACATCTAATCATGATTAGGACTGGGTCTTATCAATTACTGGGAAGGGACATTAAAGATGTTTAGTGAGGGACAATATAGACGACGAAGGAACATTTTTCACGAGAAGGAAGGGCCTTTATAGACGATTAGGAAGGGATGATATAGACGATTAGAAAGGGCCATTATGGACGATTAGAACAGGACATTATAGACGATTAAGAAGGGACATTATTGACGATAAGGAAGGGACATTATAGACGATTAGGAAGGGTCATTATAGACGATTAGGAAGGGCCATTATTGACGATAAGGAAGGGACATTATAGACGATTAGAAAAGGACATTATAGACGATTAAGAAGGGACATTATTTACGATAAAGAAGGGACATTATAGACGATTAGAAAGGGTCATTATAGACGATTAAGAAGGGACATTATTGACGATAAGGAAGGGACATTATAGACGATTAGGAAGGGCCATTATTGACGATAAGGAAGGGACATTATAGACGATAGGAAGGGCCATTATTGACGATAAGGAAGGGCCATTATAGACGATTAGGAAGGGCCATTATTGACGATAAGGAAGGGACATTATAGACGATTAGAAAGGGTCATTATAGACGATTAGGAAGGGCCATTATTGACGATAAGTAAGGGCCATTATTGACGATTAGGAAGGGCCATTATTGACGATAAGGAAGGGACATTATAGACGATTAAGAAGGGACATTATAGACGATTAAGAAGGGCCATTATTGACGATTAGGAAGGGCCATTATTGACGATAAGGAAGGGCCATTATAGACGATTAAGAAGGGCCATTATTGACGATAAGGAAGGAACATTATAGACGATTAAGAAGGGCATTATTGACGATTAGGAAGGGACATTATAGACGATTATGAAGGGCCATTATAGACGATTAAGAAGGGCCATTATTGACGATAAGGAAGGGCCATTATAGACGATTAGGAAGGGACATTATAGACGATTAAGAAGGGCCATTATTGACGATAAGGAAGGAACATTATAGACGATTAGGAAGGGACATTATAGACGATTAGGAAGGGACATTATAGACGATTGGGAAGGGACATTATAGACGATTAAGAAGGGACATTATTGACGATAAGGAAGGGACATTATAGACGATTAGGAAGGGACATTATAGACGATTAAGAAGGGCCATTATTGACGATTAGGAAGGGACATTATAGACGATTAGGAAGGGACATTATAGACGATTAGGAAGGGACATTATAGACGATTAAGAAGGGACATTATTGACGATAAGGAAGGAACATTATAGACGATTAAGAAGGGCCATTATTGACGATTAGGAAGGGCCATTATAGACGATTAAGAAGGGCCCATACAGACGAATGTGGACAATTTCGTAGTGTGGAAGCATACCTGTGCGCTTGGTAGAAAGAGGCAGGTGTTGAAGACATGTCAACCGCCACAGTATTAAGCAGAGTTGACTACACGTGATGCCTCAGTGCGTGATACAGTCGCACTCAGTTACCTAACCAACAACAATGATCATATATGGAGAGGAGTGGAATAATAGCTGAATGGGCTTAAGTGATTCGCAGAAAGTTTCATAATGTGTAATCATTTTCTGATGTGGAATACGTGAAAAGACAAAATGATTAAAAACTGCATTTGGTTCCACAACAGATCCAAGGATATATATGTTCAGGACACAAGACAAAAAACGCACAATGTATGTTGTGAATATTGCTAATGGAGAGTTAGTGTAGGGACGTGCCTGACATTTCAGCAGATAATGAGGAAAATAGGATTTAATATGTTCAAATGTTTCTTCCTATGGAATGGTGTTTATATATCCGATGTAGTAGCATTACTGACGTAGAGTGCCACGTTATTTCCACATATGGTCATTAATGTATTGCATATAAAACCATGTGTTGCAGAGACACGTGCCACCCTGTCAGTGTAAATGAAACTATCATTGGTATATGTTTTAAATCACCAGGGCTTTTTGAGTCAATTTCACATATCCAGATTTTGATCTGCATGTGTTCAGCAGTAAATGATATGCTTCACCTTTGTCCCTGCCTGATGCCTCTTACAGTCAGACAGTCAGACAGACAGACAGAATACCTCACATAATTTTGCAGGTTTGAATCCTGGCCTTCAAGAAAATAAAAAAATATCCATGAAAGCTATATCTATTAATATGTTATTCCATAACTCAATACTCAATGTCACCATCGCAAAATTATGTGCATACAGGTAGAAAGCTGTTAACAGATATCTGCATCTTGGAAATGCTTGATACTAGACTGTCTTGTGTTAATGGGGTCGGTATGGAGTTAAGACTTGATGGTCTGTGTCAAAGATGGATGGTCTGGTGTCAAAGATTGACGGTCTGGTGTCAAAGATGGACGGTCTGGTGTCAAAGATGGACGGTCTGGTATGGCCTGGTGTCAAAGATGGACGGTCTGGTGTCAAAGATGGACGGTCTGGTGTCAAAGATGGACGGTCTGGTATGGCCTGGTGTCAAAGATGGACGGTCTGGTGTCAAAGATGGGCGGTCTGGTGTCAAAGATGGACGGTCTGTTGTCAAAGATGGACGGTCTGGTGTCAAAGATGGACGGTCTGGTATGGCCTGGTGTCAAAGATTGACGGTCTGGTGTCAAAGATGGGCGGTCTGGTGTCAAAGATGGACGGTCTGGTGTCAAAGATGGACGGTCTGGTATTGTCTGGTGTCAAAGATGGACGGTCTGGTGTCAAAGATGGACGGTCTGGTGTCAAAGATGGATGGTCTGGTATCAAAGATTGATGTCTCGTGTCAAAGATGGATGATTTGGTGTCAAAGATGGGTGGTCTGGTGTCAAAAATGGACGTCTGGTGTCAAAGATGGATGTATGGTGTCAAAGATGGATGTCTGGTGTCAAAGATGGATGATTTGGTGTCAAAGATGGACGTCTGGTGTCACGGTTGGATTAGCTAGTGTTAAGGATGGATGGTGTTGGGTCAAGACTGGGTGGTCTGTTGCCAGATGGTCTCCTGTTACCGGTGATGTGGCGTCTATAGCAGATGATCTGACGTCAAGGATGGTAGGTCTGGTGTCCAGTTGGTGATCTGGTGTGCTGTAGGTGATGGTCTGGCGTACATGCTCGTTGACCTCAGTTATGTTCCTTCTGACCAGTCACGTGGGGCAGAACGCACTCGTGACCCCTGAAACCATGAACCCAGTGAAGCCTGGCGAGATGTAATCGGCCACATACCTCAGCCTTGTCGAGGCTGTAGTTAGTTGATCGTTTATTGATCATTCACACTACATTATACCGAGGTACATTTCCCACCATTATCCCACAGTAATTGTGTGCTGTGCCGTGACTGAGGGCTTCGAGGCATGGTGAGATGCTCTGATGTCTCATGGGAGATGATGTGGGAGATAGTTTGGGATAATATTTTGGCGTCCTAGGGGCGATGGTCGGACATCCTTTGGGTCATCGTTTGGCGCCCTGTGGGTGATTGCCTGGCCTACATGGGGGTGATGGTCTAGCGTCCTGGAGGAGATGGTAAGGCGTCCTGGAGGTCACACGTGTTTAAAGTCATGACCTAGAGCTCTAGGTGTGACAGCCGTTAAGGGGTTCACCTCTGTCCTGAAGCTAATTGTTTTGCATCATGTTGGTGATTGTCTGGCATCAAGAAAGAAGGGGGAGGGAAAGGGGTCTTTGGCATCAAAGGAGCAGTGGTCTGGCGTCTCGGGCGCAATGCTCTGGCGCTATACGGAAAGGCGGTCTGGCCGCACGGGATTTAAAAGTTTGTTTCATTCTGTGAATGAATTTCTGGCGCCCATAGGGGGAGTTCTGGTGACCTGGGTGGAAGGTATATTGTCCTGGGGTTTGGCATCAAGGAGGTGAAAGTCTGGCGTCCAGAAATGTACACAATAAAAGGGAGATGTCACGTGGTTTCTGTAAACCTGAACAAGGTCATGTATTTGATCGACAACTGTATCTCTGAAGGCGGGAGGGGCTAGGGTTAGGGTGAGGGCCTTGTCTTCTCTGATTTCTGTAGGCGGGAGGGGCTAGGATTAGGGTGAGGGCCTTGTCTTGTCTGATTTCTGTAGGCGGGAGGGGCTAGGATTAGGGTGAGGGCCTTGTCTTGTCTGATTTCTGTAGGCGGGATGGGCTAGGGTTAGGGTGAGGGCCTTGTCTTGTCTGATTTCTGTAGGCGGGAGGGGCTAGGATTAGGGTCTTGTCTTGTCTGATGAGTCATGCATGCGTGACGTGTTCCGTCAACCGTGGCCTCCTCAGTCCTGTCTGGCCAGCCACGTGATATAAAATGTACTTGTGACCCCTGTAGCTGTGAACCCGACGAAGCCTGACGAAAACTAATCGGCGACATACCTCAGCCCTGTCGAAGCTGTAGTTAGTTGTTCGCTCATTGATCAATCTCGCTACATTATTCCGAGGTACATTTCCCACCATTATCTGTAATTGTCAGCTGTGCCGTGACTGATGGCTTCAAGGCATGGGGGGGAATGGTTCTGGAGGAGGTGGTTTGGTGTCCTAGATGAGATTGTTTGACGTCGTAAAGGTGATGCTCTGACGTCCTGAGGGTGATGGTCTGACGTCCTGGAGGAGGCGGTTTGGTGTCCTAGATGTGATGGTCTGACGTCCTGGAGGAGGTGGTTTGGTGTCCTAGATGAGATGGTCTGACGTCGTAAAGGTGATGTTCTGACGTCCAGGAGAAGGTGGTTTGGTGTCCTAGATGAGATGGTCTGACGTCGTAAAGGTGATGGTCTGACATCCTGGAGGGGGTGGTTTGGTGTCCTAGATGAGATAGTTTGACGTCGTAAAGGTGATGGTCTGACGTCCCGGAGGAGGTGGTTTGGTGTCCTAGATGAGATGGTCTAACGTCCTGGGGGAGGTTGTTTGGTGTCCTAGATGAGATGGTCTGACGTCCTTAGGGTGATGGTCTGACGTCCTGGAGGAGGTGTTTGGTGTCCTA